GTTTTGACGGTGCGGTTTTGTCACCGCGCTTTAGTCACACGCGCTTTAGTCTACCGCGGTTTTGTGGTGGAACCGTAGCCCGAAGGTGCGTGTGTTCTTTAAATTTCCAATTTCTAATTCGGTTGTATCTCCCCTGTTGCTTTTGTTTTAATACTCAAAGGATGACAAGTTTCCGTACTTCATACAACTAGATTTAATAAGTTATTACAGAAAAAAAAAATTAATTCCAAACTACAAAGTTGAAGCAGTTGTAAGCAATAGCAGCGTGGAGCTTCATGTTTTAGTCACAGTTCCATACAAAGCATTAGTCCAAGCCAAAAAAAAAGTAAAAAAATAAAAGGTTAAAAGCCTTTTAGGGTTACTAGCAAAACCAGTTTAAAGAGAAACATGTAATAAAAGATATGGTACACTGGAAATTAGTCAGTTGAAAAAAAAAACCGAACAAGTACAGAGATCTTAGCTGTGAACACTCATCTCCATTTTTTTAGACAGCAAATTACAAATACCTAATACTTTATACCCCAACAGAACAACATCCAGAAATAAACCAGCAAAAAAAATAAAAATAAAAAATAAAAAGCAGAAATGATTTTCCTGTATTAGCACCCTGGATATCTATTTGTTGCTAAACAACGTTAAATAAATTTAAAATGTGCAGAATAAAATAACAGGCTCTTGCTCTTCTCCTGGTTCAGGAGTAAAATCATAGCATGAATATTAGAACAGATTCTATGGTTAAAGACAGAAACACTACAACAGTAGAAATTAAGAGAACTTTTTCAGTGGGGGAAAAAAAGGAATGCTGACATTATACAAACTGGTGTAAAAAGCAGCTCTACACAAAAGGCAGGTTTAACAAAATAGTTTTAAAAAAAACCAACCTGTGACTAATCTTTCACTCGTATCTTGCAAGTAGAGATGTCACAATACTGAAATATTAACATAGGAGATTTTTCTCCCAGTAAAGCACTGTATTTTTTTGTACTACTCTAACAAAGATAATGAAATCTGTAATAACTGCATATTTGTAATACGGTTGTCTTTTAACCCTGCTTTCCTACAAGGTGTGTAGGCAGGAGTGTAAGCACACACTCAACCTCATCCCATTCTTGCAGGGGGGGAAAAAAATTCTCCTTCACTTCTACTGTATTATGCTTTTACAATTTGTGTATAATTCCAACCATAGAACCTAGAGTCTAAATGTTACTATTTGAAATTTGCCTGTACATTACTTACAAAGAACTCACACAAAGGCCAACTCCAGATGTTTCCATCAGAGATCGTGGGGAACAGCTTCCCTTCAGCTGAAGTCCTCATAGAATCTGATCATGGAGGTATCTGGAGAAGGCCGTCGTATTGTCTGTTTATGTAACACCATTGTGAGTTTGCAGGATCTAAAGCAAGGTTTTTTTCAAACTTGGCAACGTGAAGATGTGGGGACTTCAAATTTCCAGAATTCCCCAGCCAAGCTAGCTGGGGATTTCTGGGAGTTGAAGTCCACATACAGTATTTTCAAGTTGTCAAGTCTGAGAAACGTTGATCTAAAGCAGTGTTCCTCAACCTTGGCAACTTGAAGATGTCTGGATTCAACTCCCAGAATTCCCCAGCCAGCGTTCGCTGGCTGGGGAATTCTGGGAGTTGAAGTCCAGACATCTTCAAGTTGCCAAGGTTGAGAAACACTGCTTTAGATCAACGTTTCTCAGACTTGACAACTTGAAAATACTGTATGTGGACTTCAACTCCCAGAATTCCCCAGCCAGCTTGGCTGGGGAATTCTGGG